AACCCAAACCATTCTATGATCATGCACCAAAGCAGAAAGTGCTCTAAGTATCTTTAAAGGAAGTTTCACACATTTGTCATTTCCCATCCTACTCATTTTGCAAGCAAAGGAGGCTGGAGTGCTGGAATGCTCTCATTAATTTCACTTACCTTCTTTCTCTTTGAATTTTTGGTTGTGAACACTGTCAGGTAGCGCCCCAAAACAAAGTCCATACTGTAAATAAGTGAGATCACTTTTCTAATTTACATGTAAACATATAGTAGAACTAAAAGTTGAAATGACATTGTTAATTACATATGAAATTGAACATCGAGTGCTAAGTGGCTGTTACATAATACCTTTAAATTACAGACTCAGGACAGTAAGTAATAAGCTGCTTTGCTGCTTTTAGAGAAAGTGTGAATCCCATGACTCAAAAGCCTGAGAAAAATCTTCCCAAGGTGGAAGCGTGCCCTGTCCAGTGGCAACTCTTCAGCCACATTCTCCCTGCATCACCCTGTTTCACTCCGTGCTATGGCAATCGGCTTTATGCCTGTGATACCGTTGGTAACTATGAAGCATGCCCAGCGAGTCTCCAGGTGTCACACTGAATAGACCCCTCTTTTCCCAACGGTAAAAGCAGCACTGGGGAAGAAGCAGCAGAGGAGCATAGCAAATGAATTAATTTTGAGCATCTCTTGTCAATTAAAATTGCTTTGTAATATCCTATGCCAGAGCCGACTTTTTCTTTGAAGCGAGCTTGAATTCTCCTTTGACACAAATTAGTACTTGTGGCTATTTACTCATATGTCAGCTTAGCATTTTGTTCTGTTTTTCATGGTGGAGTTTTTCCATGAGGCCTGAGGAAACTGGAGGCTTTCCAGAGATGACATTAAAAGTGAAATATTATTTTGGTGAATGTGAGAAGATTGGTAAATCTAGAAGACATTTTCTTACATATTCATTGTAATTTAGTTTCCATTTTGTCTTTCAGTCTCATACAATTGTGGACAAATAAAAAGTTTTCTACCTAAGTATTTATAGTTTCTACAGCTACTCAGGTCAGAACTGTCTTGACTTGGTTTGCACTAGTAACACATAAGCAGCTGTATGAAACAGGCACCATGTCTTCAGAGCATTTATATGGCTTCTAAAACTGATTTTGACTGTGGGTAGTACTACAAAATAATATTTCTCTTGAGTAAGTTCACAATTAAAAAGGAATCAAATTTTTGCCTTTACTATTTCTAGCAAAAAGTACTGCTTTTGCACTTCAACAGCATCTGCTATTTGAATATATCAACTAAATCTCAATCCATTAATTCAGTCTTAATCCATTAATGAATGCAAAGTCAAGGCACAAAGAAGTGATTTATACAATAATGAATATTGATGAGAATATATTTCAAGATTATTATGTTCCATGTACTTATAAACTCTTTTTAAGAAATAAACTCCTAAGAAATAAAGTAAGTTGTGTTTCTGTTACCTTTTTTTCTTTGAGAAATGAACCTAATATTCGGTTATGGGGTTATTATTCTGTGAATTGGTTTACAGCAATCAGTGGATATAATTTTTAATATGAAAATGTTAATCATGCATATTACAGTTCTAGTCATACATTATCCTTTCCTGAAAGCATTTCAATCTTCCAGTCTTTATGCAAAAGACTGGCCTGTGGGCTCTGTGCAGGATGTAAATTAAGTTCTTGTTTGGCTGAATCTGATTGCCCTGTAGGATATCAATCTTGCTTAGTGATACTAGAAGTTAAAAGTTGCAAGCCCCTTGAAATGGGGCCAGGAAAGGTCAGCTTCTAAATAACAAATCTGAGCGTTCAACTAAATTTTACCACCAAGAATTTTCAGTTAATTATAGAAGCTATCTTCTCAGTAGTGCTACCATTACTTTTAAAACTCCTAACGAAATTGAGAAATGCATTTTTTTTTTAAGATGTACAGTTCTTTATTACTCATATGTAAAGGTACTACAGTCACTTCAAACCAACACTGAGTTGCTTCTCAATCCCCATTTGACACTTCCTCTTATTCCTTTCATATTCTATCGAAACTAACGCTCCACTAGAGAAATTCAGTGAATAGCCAATAACCCACACAGATCATCAGAACATAACCACCCCAAGTCAACATAAACTATCTAAAATTATTTTAATATTACCAAAATACTGTTCCCTTATTACACACTTACTGATGAGACAGATTAAAGAGGCACATGCTGACACTACTAAGTATGAAATACTGCTGTTCCTTCTGACAGGATTAGCTAAATGATAAGAACACTTCCCTGTATTTTTCCTATACTCAGAAAACGTGCACAGAAAAGTCGCTCTTTGATCTATTTCACTAGCTTCAGTCACTGTAGCAGGCCTTTGTATACATAAAATATTTAGTTTTAGTAGTCTGTGGCAGCTCCTTATTGTTCCTTTGATGTATAAAGGATTTATGATCAATAATACCTGAAAGCAGCTGGCATTATTACTGCTCTAAGTCAAGAAAAAAAAAATATTGAAAGTAATGCAACACTGGCAAAAACTATATGGCTTTTGGCTGTTCAGAAACTGTAATTATCTCAGTAAATGTATGTGGTTTTGGTAATAAGGCTCAAAATTTCAGCTGGATTTTTAATAACATCTTTTCACAGTGGTTTTATTAGATATTCCAAATCAGAGCTTGACACTTAACTAATAGATAAATACCTCACTCCTTCAATAGGCTTTAGATGAAGGGACCCAGCACCCCACACAGAATGTTAATGAAGGCAATGCCATGAAGTCATGAACTTTACTCACACAAGGCTCAGAGCAGAATCCTAGCACAATCCATCTCATGCCGATTGTATTATTTTTGGGTGACCAACACTAAAATGACACATTCAGAAAAGTTTTAACTGTGAATTGACTGAAGCACAATCCAAAGCCTCCATCTGAATTCCCACATAGCCCCTATGCCGACAGTAGAACTCTTGTATCTGCATGATGAGGCATATTAATTCAAACGACATCTAACACTTTTCTCCTTGGATTAGTTCTAGTAGT